TCTTTCCTTCCTTCTTTTCTTTTTTCTTTTTCTTTCCTTCCTTCTCTTTTTCTTTCTTTCTTTCTTTTTTTTTTTCTTTCTTTATTTTTCTTTCCTTCCATCTTTCTTTTTTTTTTTCTTATTCTTTCCTTCCTTCCTTCCTTCTTTCTTTCTTTCTTTCCTTCCTTCCTTCTTATTCTTTCTTATTTTCCTTCCTTTTTCTTTATTTCTTCCTTTTTCTTTCTTTCCTTCCTTTCTTTTTCTTTTTCTTTCTTTTTCTTTTTCTTTCCTTCCTTCTTTCTTTTTTTTTTTCTTTTTTCTTCTTTCTTTCTTCTTTCTTTCTTTCTTTCTCTCTCTCTCTTTCCTTCCTCCCTTCCATCCATCCATCTCAAGCAGGAGACCCTACCCATCCCATTCTTTTTAAACCTCCAGGGATGAAGCACCCACAACTTCTGGTGGCAAGCTGTTCCACTGTTCTCACTGTCAGGAAGTTTTCTCCTCAATTCCAGGTTGCTTCTCTCTTGATTAGTTTCCATCCATTGTTTCTTGTCTTTCTTTTCCGGTGCTTTGGAAAATAAGTTGGTCCCTCCACCTCTTCTTTGGGGGCAGCCCCTCAAATGCTGGAAGACTCCCCTGGTCCTTCTTTTCACTAGACTAGCCAGGCCCAGTTCCTGCAACCGTTCATAATCCCCAGGCTTTTTATCATCTTCATCAGAAGTTGTGGGAGCTTCATTCCTGGAAGCTTTCAAGAAGAGACTGGACTGCCCTCTGTCAGAAATGGTGCAGAGTTTCCTGCTTTGGCGCGGGGTTGGACTAGATGACCCACAAGGTCCCTTCCAACTCTGTTCATCTGTTAAACCTTTGTTGCTCTTCCCTGCACTCTTTCCAGGATCTCAGCATATATTTTTTTTGGTGGCAACACAATTCAAAAGGCAGGAAGAAGAACCTCAGCGTAACCCAGGCTTGGGGTTGTTGAAACTGGGATGAGAAGCACTTGGCAATTTTTCAAGGTCCTGTTGTTGGACAATCAAGAGTTTTCGGACACCCTTTCAGTGCCTGTGGCTTCACCAGCTGAGTTTGATGGATTGTTGCATTAACAGAGGTCAAGGGAGGTACTAACACCACTCTGTAAAGCCTTAGTAAGGCCACACCTAGAGTCCTGCATCCAGTTTTGGTCACCACACTATAAAAAAGATTTCGAGATTCTGGAAAGAGTGCAGAGAAGAGCAAGCAAGGTGATTCGGGGGCCGCTGGAGGCTAAAATATACGATGAACATTTGCAGGAATTGGCTGTTCTGACCCGGCTTAGCAGAACCAAGAAACAGACTCCTTGTCCCCCCCCAAAAAACACCCTCTTTATTTAACTACTGTGAATTCATGGCATTCACACAAGAGAAAAGTCCAGGCAATAATCCTTCCAAGGGTTAATTGCAATAACAGACCTTATCAGTCCTTGGATAATTGCCAGGCCGAGAGCTTCTAAGTTGCAAAGCTTGTGGGGAAAAAAGGTTGTAAAATCAGGCATGGTTTACTAAACAACCAGCTGGCTTAGCGATGGAAACTGTGATCCTGATGGCAGTCGTAAGTCAAGGACTAGAAGTCTGGACTAGAAGACCTTTAAGGTCCCTTCCATCTCTGTTCTGTTCTATTGTAATTTTATTCTATTCTATTCTATCCCATCCTATTCTATCTGCATTCTATTCCTATTTTCTATTCTGCATTCTCTTCTCTTCTCTCATTCTATTCTATCCTCCTCTCATTCTAGTCTATTCTATTCTCTCATTCTATTCTCATTCTATTTTCTCCTCTTCATCTTCTATTCTATTCCATTCTATTTCTCTTCTATTCTGCATTCTCGTCTTCTCATTCTATTCTATCCTCTCATTCTATTCTGCATTCTCTTCTCATTCTATTCCTCTCTCATTCTATTCTGCATTCTATTTTCTCTATCTTCTGCATTCTTCTATTCCATTCTATTTTCTCTTCTCTTCTGCATTCTCATTCTATTCATTCCTCTCATTCTATTCTGCATTCTATTTTCTCTTCTCTTCTGCATTCTTCTATTCTATTCCATTCTATTTTCTCTTCTATTCTGCATTCTCGTCTTCTCATTCTATTCTATTCCTCTCCTCTCATTCTGCATTCTCTTCTCCTCTCATTCTATTCCATTCTATTTTCTCTTCTGTCCTGCACTTTTCTCTTCTTCTCATTCTATTCCTCTATTTCTATTCTGCATTCTCTTCTCATTCTATTCCTGTCCTCATTCTATTCTGCATTCTATTTTCTCTTCTTTTCTGCATTTTTCTATTCTATTCCATTCTATTCTCTCTTCTATTCGGCATTCTCTCCTCATTCTATTCTATTCCTCTCCTCTCTTCTATTCTGCATTCTATTTTCTCTTCTCTTCTCATTCTATTCCATTCTCTTCCTCTCCTCTTCTATTCTGCATTCTCTTCTCCTCTCATTCTATTCCATTTTCTATTCTGTTCTGCACTTTTCTCTTCTTCTCATTCTATTCTATTCTCTATTTCTATTCTGCATTCTCTTCTCATTCTGTCCTCTCCTCATTCTATTCTGCATTCTATTTTCTCTTCTTTTCTGCATTTTTCTCTATTCTATTCCATTCTCTCTCATTCTATTCTATTCCTCTCTCTCTTCTATTCTGCATTCTCTTCTGCTCGCATTCTATTCCATTCTATTTTCTCTTCTATTCTGCATTCTCTTCTGCTCGCATTCCATTCCATTCTCTTTTCATAAAAAGGCCCACCACCTGCATTAGATCTATTTATTGTCTTGGGAGCTGCTGGGACCCGATCAAACAATGGGGAATATTTCCATCGGCCTATTCTCATGGTCAGACCCTCCGGGGTTTCTGGGGAGTTGACCTGTGATCCAGATCTCCGCTGGGAAAATAACACATTTGACCTCGAATGGGTCCTCAGTCTCTGTTGACAAAAGGATTAAATTCAAGATTTTTCAAGACTTGGAAGGTTTAGTCAGATTGACATTGTACTACTTTACATTGTACTACCAAGCCAGTTACTTAAGGTGGATTATGGGTTCTCTCTCTTTAGGGCCAGCTGACTCCTTCTATGCAAGGGGCAAATCAATCTGCATAAACATCTCTGGTTAATAAAATAAGGAACAATTTACCGTAGAATAACTTTTGCAGCAATAAGTAACGTATTGACCATCTGGGAGAAGTACAGAAAAAGCAGATTTCACCCCCCCCACTTTTCTTTCCTCGTTATTAAATGTTTGGTTTTACGAAGAACAAAACACGGAGAAGTTTGCTCAGTGGAGAGAGGAGGACAATATATTCCCATTGCGAGGTTGGATCGGTAATAACAAGACAAAAGATTACAATCTTTTGGGATTCCTAAATGGCAAAAAAAATAGCCGGATCGGTTCACCTGAGAGGTTTCAGAAGATGGAAATGAGGAGCATAAAACTTGGAAGCGCTTCAGAGGTTTGACTGAATTTGGAAAAAAAAAAAACCTCTCATTTAAAGGGAAAAAGGGAGCTGGGCATCTATTGATTTCGAGTTAACATGAATGTATGTTACCAGACATACATACAGGCAGAAAGCAATACCCCAATTAAGGAACCCCCAAGGAGAAAAACCACACTCACCCCCCAACAACACTGGCAGGGCAAGCCACACACACACACATAAAGGTAAAGGTTCCCCTTGCACCTATGTGCTAGTCGTTCCCGACTCTAGGGGGTGGTGCTCATCTCCGTTTCAAAGCCGAGGAGCCAGCGCTGTCCGAAGACGTCTCCGTGGTCATGTGGCCGGCATGACTCAACGCCAAAGGCGCACGGAACGCTGTTCCCATCCCACCAAAGGTGGTCCCTATTTTCCTACTGGCATTTTTTACCTGCTTTCGAACTGCTAGGTTGGCAGAAGCTGGGACAAGTCACGGGAGCTCACCCCGTTACGCGGCACACTAGGGATTCAAACCGCTGAACTGCCAACATACAAACACACACACAAACCTTCTAGCACTGATAATGTTACCTAGTTTGGCAACGAAACGTCTGCAGGAAAATAACCAAGCTGAGAGAGCACCAAGGAACCCACAGTCTACATCCTCTTCCTTCACTTCTTCCCTCCTTCTCGTTCTCCAAACTTCCCTCCCCTTTCCAGCACTGAGGATGTTACCTAGTTGGGTCACGAAACCTCTGCAAGAAAACCACCAGGCTCAGAGCACCAAGGGCCCCACAGTTGTTGTCCTCCTCCTCTTCCTCTCTGCAACCCCACCCCTTCTAGTTCTGATAATATTACCTAGTTGGTGTCAGCACTTCAAGCTGCATTTACTCTAGTGCTGACATAAGAAGGAGAAGCGGAGGCGTCTGGAAAGGGACGTTTGACTTTTCACCTACTTATTTTCCCTGGAGATAATATCCCCTAGGAGATGGGATGGGAGGGGGGACATTCCTTTGAGCTGGAGCAGTAGATTAGGGGTAGAGTGACTTGGAAGATGGCCAATGAGTGCAGAGGAGTGGGGAAAGGAAAGGGAGGGTTTTGGGTCTGGAAGTCAGTGTTGGCTACGATGGAGTCGGAGTTAGAATGTCGTGCTTAATAAATAGGAGTTTTTCTTCAAAGGCTTTGTTTGAAATGCAATTTATTTGAGACGACCTCGAAACCTGACAGTTGGGTCATGAAACCTCTGCAAGAAAACCACCAAGCTCAGGGAGCACCAAGGACCCCACAGTTCTCGTCCTCCTCTCCACGACCCCCACTCCCTTCTAACACTGATGATGTTCCCTAGTTGGGCCATGAAACGTCTGCTCAGGGACCACCAAGGTCGCCACAGTCTATCCCTGAGTGAAAAACCTTCTACTGGGTTGACTGCTGCTTGTCCAAGGCAGGATAGCATAGCTTTGGGGCGCCTTACCAGATTGCTGGAAGAGATTTGGGGCGCCCGCATACTGACACCCTTCCTCTTTGCTAACCAACCTCCCCCCACCCCCATGGACAGACCCCAGCTGCCCCAGAACAAAAAACCAAATGCAAATCAACCCAGCAAGGCAGCTTTTTAATTATGTTCCTTTTTGTTGTTATTGTTCTTGTCCAAAACGCAGGATTTTTATATATATATATATATTAAAAAAAAGAGGAAAAAAAAAGAGAGAACTGCTATCCTGATCGTTAAGATGCATCAACTTCGAGAGAGGAAGACGGCGACCGCTCGGCACCCACTCCGGTCCTTGGCAACTCTGCGCCGCGAGCAACGCCACGACTTTTTCGGCAACGAGGAAACCCACGGGGAGCATCGAGCGTCGGCCCTCCCGGAGTCCATCCAAAGGAGGAGAAGGAAGGTTGGGCTAAAGAGAGCGAGCAGGAGGGGCTGCCGAGAGCGCCACCCCCTCGCTTGGTGGGAGCAGAGCCCCGGGAGGGGGGACGATCCCCAGAGGTCCCTGTGCCACGGCCAGGAGTCGGGAACTCTGGAAGGGAACTACGGGAGGGTGCATGCAAAGGGGGCGTCAGAGGAAGCGCGCGAGGGGGGGGGCGTCAATGCTCAGCAAAACGGCAGGGCTGGGAGAAGGTCAACACAACTTGGAGGGGGGGGGGCTATTCGTTTTAGGGTCCTACGAACCAAGAGTACATTTGTGTCAACGTCCAAGCCAAAGGGTGAGCTCAGAAGGGCGACTGGGCAAAGTCGAACGTCCTGAGCCGAGTCCTGGCCCCGAGGGAGGGGACGCGGCCTTCCGATCTGGCACCAGAGAGAGAGAGAGAGGGAGGAAGGCAGGCAGGCTTGGAAGCACCGGTGCAGCTGGGCATCGTGGCCTTCTGCTGTGCTCAAGAGGTGGTAGGGGGGGAGGTCCGTGTTTTGAGCGAGGCCCTCCCTGCCGGTGGGTGGGTGGCCGGTCAGTGGGATTCCTTGATGATCACCTCCACGCCGTGCTGTCGGAGCTGCACTCGTAAAATCAGGTTTTTGTTCTTCAGATCCTCGACCTGCGGGCAGAAGAGGAGGTCAGAGATGGAGGTCCCAGGGTTTTTTAAATTCTAAGGTGGGGGGGGTTGTCTTAATGGGGAAGCCCATCAGTGGGGTAGAATCAAGTTCATGTTAGGGACTAGCACCACTCTATAAAGCCTTAGTAAGGCCACACCTAGAGTGCTGCATCCAGTTTTGGTCAACACACTATAAAAAAGACGTTGAGACTCTAGAAAAAGTGCAGAGAAGAGCAACCAGGATGATGAGGGGAGGAGGCTAAAACATACGATGAACAGTTGCAGGAGTTGGGGTATGTCTAGTCTAGTGAAGAGAAGGACCAGGAGAGACAGGATAGCATCTTCCAATATTTGAGGGGCTGCCCCAGAGAGGAGGAAGGGGGCCAAGCTATTTTCCAAGGCACCCAAAGGCCAGAGAAGGAACAATGGATGAAATTGATCAAGGACAACCTAGAAATAAGGAGAAATTTCCTGACAGTGAGAACAATCAACCAATGGAACAGAAGTTGCTGGCTTAGCAAATCAAAGAGGGAGGGAGGGAGGAGAGATAGGTAAAGGTTAGAGTGGAGGAGAAAAAGAGAAAGGAGAAAGAAAGAAAGAAAGAAAGAAAGAAAGAGAAGGAAGAAAGAAAGAGAAGAAAAGAAAGAAAGAGAAGAAAGAAAGAAAAAAGAGAGAAAGAGAGAAAGAGAGAGAGAGAGAGAGAGAGAGAGAGAGAGAGAGAGAGAGAGAGAGAGAGAGAGAGAGAGAGAGAGAGAGAGATGTTGAGACTAGAAAAAGTGCAGAGGAGAGCAACCAGGATGATGAGGGGACTGGAGGCTAAAACATACGATGAACGGTTGCAGGAACTGGGCATGGCTGGTCTAGGGAAGAGAAGGACCAGGGGAGACAGGAGAGCATCTTCCAGTATTTGAGGGGCTGCCCCAGAGAGGAGGAAGGGGGTCCAGCTATTCTCCAAAGCACCGAAGGCCAGACAAGGAAGAATGGATGGAAACCGATCAACGAGAGATTCAACCTAGAAATAAGGAAGAATTTCCTGACTGTGAGAGCAATCAACCAGTGGAACAGAAGTTGCCTCTAGAAGTTCTGGATGCTCTGGAGGCTTTCAAGAATAGACTGGACTGCCACTTTGCAGAAATGGTAAAGGGTCTCCTGCTTGAGCAGGGGGTTAGACTAGATGACCTACAAAGTCCCTTCCAACTCTGTTGTTCTGTATATGGATGACAGGCCACTAATTTGCAAATAGCTTAGTAGTTTAAAAAGAAATTCTAGGTGTGTTTTGCAAGAGGTGGGATAGAAAAAATTTGAAGTAATGTATTAATCAGTATTCAACTAGGTGGGAAAACATGTGTAATTCTGTGGTTTTTCTTCTTTTTTGCACCTTTTTTTCCCCCCAATGTTTTTTTTTTTTTTTTTTAAATGTGTTGGGAGTTTTGTATTTCAACCTTTTTTGAATAAAACACAAAGATGAATGGACACCAGTTCCCAGAATTCCCCAGCTAGCAGGTTGAGAAGCACTGGTCTAAACATCCAAGGGTTTAGCGAATGAGACGATCAGCAGGTTCTGGGAATCAGGTCAGGCTGCTCAAGGTGGATTCATCCTAGAGATCTTTGAGGTCTTTCCCTTGATGGGAAAGCCAGAGCACTGAGGGTCCCTGTCAACCTTACCTGTTGTCGCAAGACTCCATTATCCACCTGGAGCTGGTCCAGGCCCTGAAGCTCCTCAGAAAGACGGATGTTATTCTGTCTTAATTCCTGAATGTAGTCGCAAGCTTTGGAGAGGATCCCGCCTTTACTCTGTAGGTGGAAGAAGAGAAAGGGACTTAAGAGAGTAACCTCGGCTACTTTAGGGGAGCCCTCATTACGGATTTGGTCACCACTTTGAATGAAGAGAAGGCAGAATGTTCTAGATTATTAGTCCCCAAGCATCCTGGACCAGAATGGGCTTCACATAATTTAACGACCAGTTTGCCCCAGCATTGAAAATGTGAGAGCGTGCGCTTGCACGCAGCTTAAAAAATGCAGCTAAATAGGATGGCATAGCGCTAGGGTGGGCCCAGGGGTGAAATGTTCCCGGTCGGACCGGATCGCCTGATCTGGCGGGTGGTTCAGAGAACTGGTAGCAAAAATCCCTGCACCGCCCCCCCCATGCCCAGCTGAGCCACACGATCATCAGAGGCTTTTTTTTATTGAATATAAATATTAAAAAAGACATACGTAAATATACACAACGAACATTTATACAACATATACACAAAAAGAATATAATTTCTTCTTAAACATTTTTTCAGAGTGACGTTCTAAACTTATAATTATTCCTTCACCTTTCTGTAATCTAATAATATTTTACATATATATTTATCAATCAGTAATATATCCCCTATAGTATACTAATTTTTAACCAAATACCAATTATTCCATAATAATAGTCTGATTCTTCTTGTAATTCTTTGGTTAACCTATCCATTTCAGCGCATCTAAAACCCTATTACTTCTGTACGCGCAACTCCTCTGGCTTTTTTTTTTACTTTAAAAAGCATTTTTTCTACAACCTCTTCCGAAGAAAAAATACTTTGAAAAGTTAAAAAAAAAAAAAAGTTGGCCACACCACCGTCACATTAACCCCCCCACCAAACCACGCCCACAGAACCGATAGTAACAAATTACCAGTTCACTAGAACCGGCTGAATCCCACGCCACTTGGACTGAAAACAAATAGCTCTTTTACTAACAATGAGCTAATGGTTACCAGCCCAGTAGATCACTAACCAGATCACCAACAGCGCAGAATCTGCTATGGGGAGGAACCTGGTGTTTACTAGATGTCACACCAGCCGCAGAGGCCAAGGATGAAGGATGCTGGAAGTGCCTTGCAAGGATATCTTGTAGCATCCATTCTATCCATCCATCACCTTGTATTCAATACAGGGAAGTCCTCGGGTTACGACAGAAACAGGGACAAAATTTCGGTCGGTATGTGATTGTAAAACATGATGTCCTGTGCCTGTATTGCGCTTGGGGACAGAAATTCTGGTCCCAATTGCAGTCATAACCTCAGGACCAATTGGGTCGTTAAACGGGAAGAGATGAGAGTCCCAAGGAATGTACAGGGGCCATGGGGGGTGTTACAGAGTATGAGTTCCCTGCAGTGACTTATGGGGGCAGCTTGTGACCTTCCCAGTTTTCACATTGACTTTGCTTGTGGGTAATTGGGAGGGAACCACTCTCTATATACCACTCTATAAAGCCTTAGTAAGGCCACACCTAGAGTCCTGCATCCAGTTTTGGTCACCACACTATAAAAAAAGATGTGAGACTCTAAGAAAAAGTGCAGAGAAGAGCAACCAGGATGATGAGGGGACTGGAGGCTAAAACAGACGATGACGGTTGCAGGAACTGGGCTGTCTAGTCTAGTGAAGAGAAGGACCAGGGGAGACAGGAGAGCACCTTCCAATATTTGAGGGGCTGCCCCAGAGAGGAGGAAGGGGGCCAAGCTATTTTTCAAGGCACCCAAAGGCCAGACAAGGAAGAATGGATGGAAACTGACCAAGGAGAGATTCAAGTTAGAAATAAGGAGGAATTTTCTGGCAGTGAGAACCATCAACCCATGGAACAGAAGTTGCCTTCGGACGTTCTGGGAGCTTCATCACTGGAGGCTTTCAAGGAGAGACCATTTGTCTGAAATGGTGCAGGGTCTCCTGCTTGGGCGTGGGGTTGGACTAGATGACCTACAAGGTCCCTTCCAACTCTGTTATTCTGTTAGATAGGAAGGGTGAAAATGGCGATTGTGTGACTTCTGCAGTGTTGTAACTGTTAAGTTGGAGACCTGAGCACACAAATCACGATCGTGTCTTCATTGGGAATACTGCAACGGCAGCCGTCTCGCACACTGGTTGTTAAGTCCTTCTCCTTCAGTGCCATTGCAATTTTGAAGGGTGGCTGAACAAGTGGCCGTAACTCGAGGACTTCCTGTGTGACCAATTTCAAGCCAAAGTTTACCATTAGCCTTCTTGGCAGTGAAGGTAACTGCTGGGAAGACTGACGTCACTATTTTTTTCTCTATTTATTTGTATCCTGCCTTTATTTTTTTGGACAAATTTCTCAAGGTGGCAAACATATCCGGCAAACTTTCCTCCTCCTATTTTCTTCACAACAACCTTGGAAGGTGGGTTGGGCTGAGAGAGAGAAAGATTGGCCAAAAGTCACCCAGCTGTCTGTCATGTCATAAGCGGGACTAGAACTCCCAATCTCCTGGTGATTGGCCCAACATCAACCAGCTGGCGTTCATATCAAAGGCGAGACTAATATCGCTCCCATCACCCCCCTCATCTCCCCACAGCAGAGCCGCTCCACTGTTCTCACCTGTCCAGATTTGGTGTTCTCCATAGAACAGTCCGGAATGATCTTGGACAGCTGCACAATCCAGTTGTTGATCTTGTCCCTGCGCCGGCGTTCCACTACAGGACACAAAAGGATTACAGGGTTACCTTCTGGAAGGAAGGAGAGGCTCTACTGCACCGTTTCGCAAGGCTGTGGGAATTCTGCAGAGGTGTTGAGTGCAAGACCGGACACGGTGCTGTTGTAACTTCAAAGAGTCGCTAAATAAATGGTTGTAAGTTGAGTACTCCCTGTATTTATTAGGCATAGCCCTCATCATTTCATGGGGACCTTCCTTTATTCCTATCCACCGAAACAACAGTCTTGTGAGGTAGGTTGGGAGAGAGAGAGAGGGAGAGAGAGAGAGAGAGAAAAGAGGGAGGGAGAGAAAGAAAAGAGAAGAGAGAGGGAGAGGGAGAGAAAGGAAGGGAAAGAGAAAGATAAAGAAAGATAAAGAAAGAGAGAGGGGGGAGAGAGAGAGAGAGAGGGAGGGAGAAAGAAAGAAAAAGAGAGAGGGAGGGAGGGAGGGAAAGAAAAGAGAAGGAGAGGGAGAGAAAGGGAGGGAAAGAGAGAAAGAAAAAGAAAGAAAAAGAGAGAGAGAGAGGGTGAGAGAGAGAGAGAGAGTCACCTAGTGAGTTTCCATGGCTGAGGACGGATCTGATCTCCCCAGTTCTACTCCCCCAACCTAACCACTATGCAGCATTGCCTCTCTCACCCAATCCGGCTGCCTTCCTCACCTTCGTTGTGCTGTGCCCGACGTTTCTCGTCCCGCGTTGTCCGTGGAGCTTCCGATTTCCTGGGAAAAGGAAAAGGCGGGTCTAATTTTACACTTGCGTCGTTAAATTTACATCGTGTCACCATTTAAGCCAGAATCCTCCCGTTTGCCTCTCCTTTAAACTCCATCCCCAGGTGTGCCTTGTGAAGGGAGTCGGGGCCCTCTCCTCCCTCGTAAGCCACACAACCCACGTTGCTCTCTTCTGCGTTCTTCCCTGCGCGCCCTAGGATGAGGAGGGAGGGGGGCCCTTGGTCTTCATCAGAACCCCTTCTCCCTTGTTCTACCTCTCCCCTGCTCTGCCCAGCCTGATTTTGCCCTTCCCCAGTTTCCTCCACAGCCAACGGAACCGCTCTCCCGCTCTCTCTCAGCTGTTCCTCTTCTATCTCAGAGTCAGACTCCGACAGGGGCATGACAGGTCTCTAACCCCCACCCCATCCCACCCCGGTTCATGGACTGGCACCAGTCCGCGCAAACAAATGAAGCCCCATACGCAGGATTCAGGTAGCATGGAAAACCACGTGTCCTCCGGTCCGTGGAAAAACCTCTCTCCAAGAAACCGGTCCCTCGTGCCCACAAGTTTGGGGGCCACTGCCCTAGCAAACAAATTCTGAAAACTTGGAAAACTAAGCTCCCATGCTTCCTATGCCAATAAATACGAGGCCTGTCACTCACGGGGAATAAGGGTGAGTCCGGGGTGCGATCGACCGCTGGGTTCCACTCTGTAGCACCTCCTGGGGTGACATCATGACGAAAAACTGCCCTGTTCGAAGTGGGAGAGAGAGAGAGAGAAAGAAAGAAAGAGCTTTGTGTTTACAAAATACTCCAAATCGAATCACATCCAAGGACTAAATCTAAAGAGCCTTGGTAGTACAGTGGTCTAAGGCACCCTGTTATTAAGCTGGTTATTAAGACCAGCTGCCTGCAATTACTGCAGGTTCAAATCTCGCCAGGCTCAAGGTTGACTCAGCCTTCCATCCTTTCTAAGGTAGGTAAATTGAGGACCCAGTTTGTGGGGGCAATAAGCTGACTTTGTATAAATATACAAAAGAATGAAGGCTATTGCTTAACGCATTGTAAGCCGCCCTGAGTCTCTGGAGAAGGGCGGCATATAAATCAAATTAAAAAAAAAATAAATCTAAAACTGGACTTCGTTCAGAGTCGTTTCTTCGTTGTCAATTCACCTACAGACAGAATCTTGCCGGAGTAAAGCAATGATAGTTCTCAACTTACAACAGTTCTGTCAAGCTCGAAGCACGCTTATGCCATTGCAACCATTATTGCTTCTCAATTTGCCAAAGAACTAAATGTTGTGACCTAGGCTTACTGAGTCAAAAAACATACGAGAAGTCGCAAAAAACTCTTTTATTGCAACAGCTGTGAATTACGTTCATTCACAGCTGAGTCCCAATTAGTTGCAAAAAGTCCTTCGGGATAATCACCAACCTTTATCTCCCCTTGACACTCTGCCAAAGACCTACTTGGCAAAGCCACACGGAGTCCAGAATCAAACAGAGATGCCGACTGGGAACAGAATTAACAACGTTGCTTTCCTGCAAAGGGCCCACGTGCCTTTGCTCCTCTTTTAAGCCTTATGGGAGGGGCCAATCATCTCTTGGCCCTACTCCCGAGTCGTCCCTTTAGTTTTAATTGTTCGTGCCTTCTGGCAGCTCTGCGCATGCGCGCACTAGGAACAGGCTCCTCCTGTTCCTCTGCTTCTCTGATGTCCGACTCTGGAGGCTCCAGAGTCTGTGCATAACTCCCAGATGGCCTTGGCCCCATCTCTGCTTCCGACACAGAGCCCTCATCTGAGCCTTCCCCAGACTCCAAGACTGGCCCATGTTCCTCCCCAGCCTCCACACTGTCTGACTCCGCTGCCAGCTCCACAGGCTGATGGCGGACCACAACACTAGGGGAGGGGAGGGGAGATGGAATGCAGGCTGCAGACTTCAAGAAGAAGAGCCATGAGTGCCAAGGACACATCGGCAGTTGTTTGCCAAGACCAGAGACTTTTTCTCATAACAAAATAATGACATTCAACTGGACAATGTGACCTGCAAGAGTAGGGGGAGGGGGAAATCCATACTATAACTATGTGGGTTTGCGCGGGAATTAGGTAGAGCTGGTTTTGCCTTCAGCAGTGCCGAAATGATGTACTCAATAAAGTTTTGCATCCAGATACCAGGTCTCAACTGTGCTTGCTTTGGTTGGGTTCGTCAACTCGGACCGTTGACAAGTTCATGTAGTGGCCATTCAAAGTTACAACGGTCCTGAAAAAAGTGACTTATGATCGTTTTTCACACCTACGACCTTTATAGCAACCCCATGATCATGTGATCAAAATTCAATGCTTGGCAATTGGTTCATACTTATGACCGTTGCTGTGTCCCCGGGTCACGCGAACCCTTTTTGCGACAAGCAACGTCAATGGGGAAGGCGGATTCACTTAACAACCGTGTTACTAACTTATCAACTGCAATGATTCACTTAGCAACTGTGGCAAGAAAGATCGTAAAATGGGGCAAAAGTCACTTAACAAATGTCTCACTTAATAACAAAAATTTGGGGTTCATGTATTGTTCACGGTCTATCTGTAATACGAATTATTGTGATTTTTACAACATGCTCTAACAGGTATATAAACCTTAAATTAATTGCTAAAATGCAAGTAATTCTCGACTTACAACCATTCGCTTAGCGACTTTTCCAAGCTACAACAGACCTTCCCAAAAAGTACTTCTGACCCAATTCTGAGATTTTGATGACCACTTTGGATACTCGACAACTGGATCACATTGACAAGATTGACACATTGCAGCTTCGTGGACAGACGACTGCAATTTATGGCGCTTTTGCCCCAAATTGAGATTTTACTTTGTTTCTGGCAAAAAATGTCTCCATAGCAAACAATGGGTTTGCTTAATAACTCGAGAAAAAAAAAGTGTCATAAAATCAGCTTTACAGCCATCAAAGATTACCTGTATTACTTTATAAGTAACTCAGGACGGCGAATATATTTTGATAAAAGATTTGCTACAAATATAAACTGAAAACGTAACTGGGGAACTGGAATGTGAACGAATGCTCTAGGGCAGGGGTCTGCAACCTTAAATACTCAAAGAGCCCTTTGGACCCGTTTCCCACAGAAAACACCAGGAGCCACAAAATCTGGCTGGGTGGGCGTGGCCAACTCGATGTCACTCACTTCCACTAGTCACATGACCCCCTAGTCATGCCGAACCAGCCGGACATTAGGGCAGAGAACCAGTTGTTAAAAAACACCGGGAACCACAAAATCCTTTTGACATCTCTCTCTCTCCCCTCCCTCTCTCTCTCTCTCTCTCTATGTCTCTTTCTCTCCCCCTTTCTCTGTATCTGCCCTGGCTGCTTCTCCATCCCCCACCGTCACCCTTACCTTCTCAGGCCAGGCGAGGAGTGACTGGGAGGGGAGGGCGAGGGGCGGGGCCAGCCAGTGGTGGGATCACCTGACAGGGAGCCACAGCAGAGGGCCCAAAGAGCCGCCTGTGGCTTCGGAGCCACAGGCTGCTGACCTCTGCTCTAGGTGAGGGGTGGGGAACGATGGCCCTTTTATGACTTGTGGACTTCAACTCTCAGAATTCCTGAGCCAGCCATGGCTCTAGGCCCATGTGCACAGTCACTCATGCCCTCATCACCTCTCGCCTGGACTACTGCAACGCTCTCTACATGGGGCTCCCCTTGAAGAGCACCCGGAGGCTCCAACTGGTCCAGAATGCGGCCGCACGGGTAATTACGGGAGCTGCATGGCGCTCTTGCATAACACCGCTCCTGCGCAAGCTGCACTGGCTCCCAGTGGTTTCCCGGGTGCGCTTCAAGGTGTTGGTTATCACCTTTAAAGCGCTCCATGGCATAGGACCTAGTTATCTCCGAGACCGACTTCTGCCACCGACGACCTCCCATCGACCCGTGCGCTCCCACAGAGAGGGCCTCCTCGGGGTGCCATCAGCCAAGCAATGTAGGCTGGTGACCCCCAGGGGGAGGGCCTTCTCTGTGGGGGCACCTACCCTCTGGAATCAGCTGCCCTCAGAGATAAGGAGAATCCAAGACCTCCGTGCCTTCCGCCGTGCCCTTAAAACTTTCCTTTTCCAACAAGCCGGGCTGGCCTAACAAATCCTTTTAAATGATTTTAAATTTGTATGTTTTTTTTAAAATTCTTGGCCAAATTGAGATATTTCCTTTTAATCTGTTCTTAATGTTTATATTATGTGTTTTTATCTGGCTGTACACCGCCCTGAGTTCCCAGGAAGAATGGCGGTATATAAATTTGAACTAAAATAAAAAATAAAATAAATAACCCTAGGCCAAGGTTATTTTTCAATCTTGACAACTTTAAGATGGGTGGACTTCCAACTCCCAGAATTTCCCAGTCTACCAGTTGCCAAGGTTGGGAAAACTCGGTCTTGGCCTATCAAATTATCACTTCCTTTGGCTCTGTCAAAAATGGTTTACAAGTCAAGAGGCAGCATTTATCAATGGAATACAAATTTATCAAATTAATAGATTGGAGAGAGCAACAAAATTACAGCACAGTGGGTGGATAAATCTGGGCATGACCTCCATCTGGGATGGTCCTGACTGACTGACCTGTGCCGGTGGGCGTAGCTTGCCCCAGAAGGGCGTCCGAGTTCTGGGTGGTGACCACTGCAGTCGTCCCTGCTCCAGCAGAGGTGCTGGTGTCGGCCACGGTGGCCGGGTAATAGGTGTAGTGGGTCTCGGTGGCCGCGGCTTCGGAGTCGACGGCATCTTCGCTCGTGAACGCTCCTTGGATGACAGCCTGGGGAGAGAAGGTCATGAGGGTGACTTCAAACCGGAAATATTTTTGTTAGGTATATATTACCCAGAAAATTATAATTAAAGGGATTACATATTTAATAATACAAGTGCTGACAGCAGCGAGAATTGTGTTTGCACAATATTGGAAAAATGGGGATATACCTACAGATGAAAGTATAATTAGAAAAATATCAAGACTGTGCGGAGATGGATAGATTGACATTAATAATAAAAGGAAGAAACAGAATATTTTTAACATGGGATTTGTTCCATCAATGTGTAGATAGAAGAGGTAGAAATCAGAAGATGAAAGGTTATTGATCTATGTAAGTAAAAGATGCAAGAATTGGACTATACGTAAGTAAACATCAGTATTATTACTACTGTGTTTTCCCGAAAATAAGAACTTGTCTTTTATTTTTTTTGAACCCTGAAATAAGCGCTTGGCCTTATTGCCATGCGCTCAAAAACCCAATTGGGCTTATTATCAGGGGAGGTCTTATTTTGGGGGAAACAGGGTATCTATCTATCTATCTATCTATCTATCTATCTATCTATCTATCTATCTATCATCTGTGTTCCACCGAAAATAAGACCCTGTCTTATATTTTTTTGAACCCTGAAATAAGCGCTTGGCCTTATTGCCATGCACTCAAAAGCCCAATTGGGCTTATTATCAGGGGAGGTCTTTTGGGGGAAACAGGGTACAGCTGTTATTAGTACTATTATCATCAGAATTATTATATTGTATAAGTATATTGATCCAGACAATACACTGTTTATTAAGCACTTATGTACTTTAAAGAAAAAAATGTATAAATAAAATTTAAAAAAAAGATGGTGACTTCAAGATTTGTCGACTTGGAATTCTGGGAGTTGAATTTCACAAGTCTTAAAAGTTGCCACGGTTGGAAACTCCTGGTCTAGAGCAAAGGGAAAAGTAGGGAAGATGCTCCAGGATGGTGCTCCTCAACCTTGGCCACCTTAAGAGGTGAGGACTTCAACTCCCAGAATTCCCCAGCCGGCTTGGTCCCCTGGGAGAAGCTCCCATTGAAGCATCTTTTTTTTAATTATTATTTGATTTATATGCCGCCCTTCTCTGGAGACTCAGGGCGGCTTACAATGTGCTAAGCAATAGCCTTCATCCTTTTGTATATTTATACAAAGTCAGCTTATTGCCCCCACAACTGGGTCCTCATTTCACCTACCTTAGAAAGGATGGAAGGCTGAGTCAACCTTGAGCCTGGCGAGATTCGAACCTGCAGTAATTGCAGGCAGCTGGTCTTAATAACCAGCTTAATAACAGGGTGCCTTAGACCACTGTACTACCAAGGCTCTTGAGACCCACCTGCGGCCAGAAGATTCAGCCCAACCGCTGGACTGCTTTCTCTTCCCCAGGAGGACTCACCTTCCTCTTCCTCCAAATCGGCAGCACCTACCTGGGTCATGGACTGCGTTGCAGGGTAGCCGCTGATGGCCCCACTGCCCTCCGTCTGCCCATCCAGCTGCCCCTCGGCCACCTGTATGACTCGGTACATCAGCTGGAGGAGGAGAGAGCAAAAAGGAGACAGGACAACGGGGAGTGCATGTGTATGTGTTATGAACGTGGTAAACTGACAATGGGGAGCTTTGAAATTATTTATTTGTATCCCGCCTTTATTATGTTTATAAAAACCTCAAAGCTGCAAATGTATCTAAACACACTTAAAGAGTTTGTCACTTTGAATGTAAGCTAATTGGCATACCTTAAAATGAAATGTTGTTGCATACAACTCTCAAAAGGTCCCCACCTCTAATACACACAAGATAAATAAATACACTTTCCTCCTCCTACAACAACCACCCTGTGAGGTGGGTTGGACTGAGAGACAGACTGGCACAAGATCACCCACCTGTCTTTCGTGTCTAAGGCAGGGCTAGAATTCACCATCTCCTGGTGATTGGCTAAAGTCACCCAGCCAGCTTTCATGCCCAAGGGAGGACTAGAACTCCCTGTCTCCTGGTGACTGGCCCAAGGTCACCCAATCAGCTTTCATGCCTAAGGGAGGACTAGAACTCCCTGTCTCCTGGTGACTGGCCTAAAGTCACCCAACCAGCTTTTATGCCTAAGGGAGGACTAGAACTCCCTGTCTCCTGGTGACTGGCCTAAAGTCACCCAACCAGCTTTTATGCTTAAGGGAAGACTAGAACTCCCTGTCTCCTGGTGATTGGCCTAAAGTCACCCAACCGCTTTTATGCTTAAGGGAAGACTAGAACTCCCTGTCTCCTGGTGATTGGCCTAAAGTCACCCAACCCGCTTTTATGCTTAAGGGAAGACTAGAACTCCCTGTCTCCTGGTGACTGGCCTAAAGTCACCCAGCCAGCTTTTATGCCTAAGGGAGGACTAGAACTCCCTGTCTCCTGGTGATTGGCCTAAAGTCACCCAACCAGCTTTTATGCTTAAGGGAAGACTAGAACTCCCTGTCTCCTGGTGATTGGCCTAAAGTCACCCAACCCGCTTTTATGCTTAAGGGAAGACTAGAACTCCCTGTCTCCTGGTGATTGGCCTAAAGTCACCCAACCCGCTTTTATGCTTAAGGGAAGACTAGAACTCCCTTCTTCCTGGCGATTGGCCCAGAGTTACCCAGCTGGATTTCAAACGAGGAAGCCAGATTCACTTAGTAACCCTGTTACTACCGTAACAGCTGCAGTGATTCACTTCACATCTGTGGCACGAATGGCTATAACATTGGGCAAAACTCCTTTAACGACCGTCTTGCTTAGTCACAGAAATGTTGGGCTCAGTTGTGGCCATAAGGAGTACCTATATCTTTTGGTTTTCTCCCCCTTTAGAAAAAAGATAATTGGGAGGCCAGACTGTGTGATGAAATAATCACCTGTGTCATCTGGAACAGATGGAAAAATTATAAACAGACTCAAAGGAAGGGGTTTGTAATTAATATAATCAAGGACCTCCAATCCATTTCGGGAAATAAATATACCAAATAGCAAGTGGGGACCCTGGTAATAACAGAGTTGGAAGGACCTTGTCGGTCTAAAAGTCCAACCTCCTGCTTAAGCAGAAAACCCTACACCATTTCAGACAAGTGGCTGCCCAATCTCTTCTTAAAAACTTCCAGTGTTGAAGCATTTACAACTTCTGGTGGCAAGCTGTTCCACAGGTTAATTGTTCTCACGGTCAGGAAGGTTCTCCTTAATTCCAGGTTGCTTCTTTCCTTGATCAGTTTCCATCCATTTTATTCCTTGTCTGACCTTCAGGGGCTTTGGAAAATAGCTTGGCCCCCTTCCTCCTCTCTGGGGCAGCCCCTCAAATATTGGAATATTGCTATCCTGTCTCCCCTGGTCCTTCTCTTCACTAGACTAGCCAGGCCCAGTTCCTGCAACCGTTCATAATATGTTTTAGCCTCCAGTCCCCTCATCCTCTTGGTTGCTCTTCTCTGCACTCTTTCTAGAGTCTCCACATCTTTTTTACATCATGGTGACCACATAAAAACGATGTGGAGACCCTAGAAAAAGTGCAGAGAAGAGCAACAAAGAGGATTAGGGGACTGGAGGCTAAAACATATAAAGTTTGGTTGCTGTATTACTTTTTTAAAAAAATTACTTTTTTCTGATTCCGCCCACCCCCCGCCGCCCCGAGAGCAACGTAGGGCAAATGCATCTCAAAGCCAGCTAATACTGTCTTCTTCTTGTGCCATATCCATCATCGGACATTGGCGATCATGTTGGCGATACTATTTTTATCAACAGCCGCACGAAAAAGTGGTCCAAACCAGTCCCTTAGATTTTGAGCGAATGCCTACAAGTGTTAAATCGAAACTTGCAAGCAGCAACAATGCAAAGAAGCGAGAAAGTCCTTTCGTGCAGACCAGATTCCTGTTTTCGAAGAATATCTATTAATACAGGGAGCCAGCAGCACAAGAGATCCGCTTTAGACCAGTGTTTCTGAAGCTGAGAAAGTTTAAGACTTCAACTCCCAGAATTCCACCCGTCTGAAACCTGTCCAGCTTGAGAAGCACTGATTTGGATACCTGCAGCAAGCAAGGGAGGAAACCTTCCGGCAGCAGCTCACAGCATCTCACCTGAGTACCTCCATTCTCTGCTCGGAAGACATATTTGATGTTCGGATCTGAAAAGGTGGCCGCCGACTGGATGCTCGCAATGGCGACGCTGGTGGGATCTTCACCTGTCGCTACTGCTCCTTCAGAGAAAGAAGAGAAAGAGGCCTTAAATAGGGCCGAAGCCGCCATGTTAATTAATTCCCGCCCTTTCCCAGGACTGTGCAATACAGGTAAGTCCTCGACTTACAATCATCCGTTTAGTCATCTTCTTTTAACGACCCCATAATCTCTTGTGAGGGGGTGGAGTCTGGGCAACTGAATAGAGCTGAGTGTTTACTGGCCGGATGCCTTTCCTGTCTCCAATACAGAGTTTTGTTCGGCAGATTGTGCCGAGAGAAATATCTGCCTCCACCTAGGATTGAACTCACTCCTGATTGTGAGGCGAGAGCTCCACTTCTAGGCCACCGCACCACTCTCATGAAGCCTGGCAATCATCATCATCTTTTAAGGACCCCAGAATCCTTTGCGGGGTGGAGTCTGAGCAACTGAATGGAGCTATCAGAATGTTTACTGGCCGGATGCCCTTCCTGTCGCCAATGCGGAGTTTTGTTCAGCAGATATATTCTCAGTGTGCCCAGAGAGAGAAATTTCTGCCTCTACCTAGGATCAAACTCACAGCCTCCTAGGCCACCGCACCACTCACAATCATCCGGTTAGTGACCGTGCGAAATTACAGTGGCCCCCGAAAAAAGTGACTTAGGACTGTTTTTAGGACTGTAGTATCCCCATGGTCATGGGAGACCACCAGGAAATCTCAGACCTTCTCAACCAAGAAGACCCCCCCCTCCAAATTATGTCTATAAAATCACCCAATAATTGTAGAGGCCAATTTCTGGGGTTCCAGGAACTGAGTCTGCCTTGAAGGGAGCCATCTTGCAGGGGTAGGAAGAGCAAAAAATACAACCGGCCGGAGAATGCTCACCTTCCTGGATTTGAACTGTTCCCTCTTCTGTCTCTGATGTTTTCTGCTGCCTGCTGAGACAAGGAGGAACACATGAGATGGGAACATTCTTTCCATCAGATATTTACCTTAGTTTTCGGCGTATAAGACGCACTTCCCCCCCCCCCAAAAGTGGGAGAAAATTGCAGTGTGTCTTATACACCGGCCATTTTTGGCCTCTGCACATCACATTTTTGGCTGGTTCCAGGCGGCGATGCTGATCCTCACCGCCTGGAATTAGCCAAAAATGCGATGCGTGAAGGCCGAAAACGGGGCGTGCTAAGGCAGTGATCGGCAGTGACGTGCTGTGGCGATCCCAACAGCCTGGAATGGGTCTAAAATGGGAATGCAGAAGCCAAAAACGCAACATGCGGAGGCCAAAAATGCGATGTGCGGAGACAGTGATGGGCTCTGGCGATGCCCGCAGCCTGGAACAGCTGATTGGCGGTATTCTGGGAGGCTGATCCATCCGCCAATCAGCTGCTCGTGCTGAATCAGGCTGCGATAACGTGCTGAAGCTGACCAGAATGTGTGCTGCAAGGTCGCTGGCCAGATAAATACCAATGGATGCTGGTAGGCAGAGGCAGAATTTTGTTTTTTCTTGTTTTCCTCCCCAAAAACTAATGTGTGTCTTATACTCCGAAGCATCTTATACTCCGAAAAATACAGGTATTTTTTTAATGTATCATATTTAGAGACCATCCATCTCCGTCACAGAGCGATTGTGGGTCCTCTTGGGTGTCCTTCCTGAAGGTGAGGGAGACCCTGCTTAGCTGGACTCTGGTTAGATAAGGAATTGAAGATGATAAAGGATTTAAAGGAGGTTAATTTTTTTTTTTTAATTTGATTTATATGCCGCCCTTCTCCGGAGACTCAGGGCGGCTTACAATGTGCTCAGCAATAGCCTTCATCCTTTTTGTATACTTATACAAAGTCAGCTTATTGCCCCCACAAATGGGTCCTCAGGTTGGGTGATGAATGAGTGAGGGTACATCTAGCCTGAACTCCCGTTACTTGTCCCAGTTTCTGCAGGTAAAAAATGCAAGTAGAAAAATAGGGACCACCTTTGGTGGGAAGGTAAGAGCGTTCCGTGCGCCTTTGGCGTTGAGTCGTGCCGGCCACATGACCACGGAGACGTCTTCGGACAGCGCTGGCTCTTCGGCTTTGAAACGGAGATGAGCACCGCCCCCTAGAGTCAGGAACGACTAGCACGTATGTGCGAGGGGAACCTTTACCTTTACCTCTAGCCTACTGAAGACAAGGGTTAGGAGAGGGCATGATAGCAGTATTCCAATATTTGAGGGGCTTCCATAAGAAGGGGGTCAAACCTATTCTCCAAAGCACCAGAAAGCGAGGCAAGAAGCAACAGATGGAAACTAATCAAGGAGAGAATCAACCTAGAACTAAGGAGAAACTTCCTGACAGTGAGAACAATTAATAAGTGGAACAACTTGCCACCAGAAGTTGTGGGTGCTCCATCACTGGAGGTTTTCAAGCAGAGACTGGACGGCCATTTGACTAGGATAGTATATGGACACCTACCTTGAGAGGGAGGGGGGTGGATAAGATGACCTCCCAAGTCCCTTCCAGCCCTATGTATGTATAGTACCCAGGATGGGACCTGGGACACACCACATCTGGAGAACCTGTTTACAAAAAAAGAGATTCTATCCACCAAAGGCTCAGATATATTTTTATTCTAAGGGAGGAAATTTCGCATCTCCTTTATTAAAGTTTCCACTAGTTTTCAAAGCTTTACTTCATTGTATTTTAAGCTTTCAGTTTCCTAAATGGAATCAGGGTGGGTACATGCTTGGTTTCCAAGTCAGCTTTCTTCATCCACAGCTTGGTGGATAAGCCAGACAACACATAGAAGACAACGTTCTACATGGCTTTTTAAGACAGTTGAAGATCTGGGGAATTCTGGGAGTTGAAGTCCAGACATCTTAAAAGTGGCGAAGGTTGAGAAACTCTGCTCAAAGTTGTCTGCCTTCACACTTCATTAGCCTGGTGTTCATTTTTGTGGCTTAGTGCATGGTGCAAACCCAGCTCGTTGGCTTAGATTACCACTGAATATTTACGCAATTTCTCTGCTGCAACCCAACCTGACCAAGCAGATACCTACAGCAAAGTTGGGCTACTTTAGATTCGAAGAAACCCCTTTTTTCTAAACATTCATATAGTTTGTTCCACACTCCATAACCGTGATGGCGAACCTATGGCACACTTGCACCTGTGGCACGCGAAGCCATGTCTCCTGGCACGCCAGCTCAGCTCTGGCGCTAGGAATCTCTGGAGGCTGGGGACAGCAGAAAAGTCACTTCCTGTCCAACCGGAAGTTGGGAAATGGGCCGTTTCGGGCCTCTGAGGGGCAGGGGAAGGCTGTTTTCGCCCTCCCCAGATGCATAGAGAGGATCTAGAGCCAGGTGAGAAAGGAAAACGGGCCTACTGGGCCATCGCGTGCCAGGAGCGGGGGGGGAGGGGGGTCATGCTCACATCTGTAGAGTGGGACACATAGAATTACGGGTGTGGGCACATGCGTGCACGAACCTCCCCCGCTCTCCCCTTCCTGGCACGCAATGGCAAAAAGGTTAGCCATCACTGCTCTATTATATTCCGACTCTTCCCTCTCCTCAATTTCCAGCATCCTCTTATCCATTTCTGCACATTGTAAAATTGTTTCCTCTCCTGGTACGTTGTTTTATTTCTATCCATATGCGACAGTAATCCTTGCTGCCGTTAAAATATGGAGGAATCAAAACAATTCGGAATGTTAATTTAATCGAGTTAAAACTAGAAAGTGAAATTACTGAATAGTGTTAACCGGATAATGATGGTTGTGTAAATAGATACAAATGTAAATGTAAGTACGCAGATGAAAAATTGAATAAGAATAGGGAATTATCCATATCGATACAGAAAGCTGTAAAATAATATATAATGTAATGTTAAGTTTGTTATGTGTTTTTAATGTGTCCTTGTTTTTGTTGTATTTTTCTTTACTTTGTTTTTAAAAGTCAAAAGTTCAATAAAAATTATTTTAAAAAAAAATAGATTCGAAGAAATAACCACAGGGACTTGGCTCTCAAGATCAAAGCAGGGGTATTGTACTGAGAGCCATCCATTTTTCTAATCTAATATGCAGTCTAATCTAAAAATAAATAAATAAATCTAATTTTTCTAACTAATCAAAGAGAGAAGCAACCTGGATGCTAGCCAGATGAATACCGATGGATGCTGATAGGCAGAGGCAAAAATTTCCCCCCCATGTTTTCCTCCCCAAAAACTAATGTGCGTCTTATACTCCGAAAAATACAGTATTTTTTTTAACGTATCGTATTTACAGACCACCCATCTCCCTCACAGAGTGATTGTGGGTCCTCTTGGATGTCCTTCCGGAAGGTGAGGGAGACCCTGTTTAGCTGGATGCTGTCTTGTCCTGTCCTATTTTCTCTTCTCTTCTTCTATTTCTATTTCTATTTCTCGCGGTGGCGCAGTGGTTAGAGTGCAGTACTGCAGGCGACTTCTGCTGATTACCGGCTACCAGCAGTTTGGCAGATTGAATCTCACCAGGCTCAAGGTTGACTTAGCCTTCCATCCTTCCGAGGTCAGTAAAATGAGGACCCAGTGTCGACCTTGAAGATGACATATGTGTAGCCATATCTATTGTTGGGGGCAAGAGGCTGACTCTGTAAACTGCTTAGAGACGGCGGTAAAGCACTGTGAAGCGGGATATAAAGTGATTTTTTTACCTTTTAAAGACTTCTCTCACCTTGCATCTGTGGCAGACCTCTCTTTTACTTATGCATAAATAAAGAGATATTAACTTATCTTTCCGGCTCGGATTCTATTTTAGCAAAAGCACGAACAGGGTAAGAATCTTGCTGCTGTTTGTGGCTAACACCACATTCAAAATATGGTTCTCACCCCTTCATTTCTTTAGTCGGTTATGCATCAGAAAATCTCAGCCTGGACTTCTTTTCACCTGCTCCTTCTTCAGAGTTACTTCATCCAAAACCTAAAAAAAAAAAAAAAAAAAAATACACATTCATGAAGACGAATGCCCCATTTTTTGCAGGTAGTCCTTGACTTATGACAATTAAGCCCAAAATTTCCATTGCTAAGCAAGACAGTTGTTAAGTGAGTTTTGCCCCATTTTATGACCTTCCTCGCCACAGTTGTTAAGTGAATCAGTTAGTAACCTGGTTTATTAAGTGAACCTGGCTTCCCCATTGACTATGACTTCCCCCAAGGTCGCAAAAGGGGATCACGTGACCCTGGGACACAGCAAGTCATAAGTAGGAGCCCCTTGCCAAGGGTCCGAATTTTGATCACATGACCATGGAGATGCTGTAATGGTCATAAAGTGTGAAAAACGGTCATAAGTCACTTTTTTCAGCGCCGTTAACGTCAAACAGTCGCTAAATAAATTCAATCCTGTTTGTTAGTCTATTTTTATAATAAAGTAATGGTTGTAAGTCGAGATCTACCTGTTCTATGGATACGCACCGTCACTCGCACCCTAGTCACCTCCTGGAGAGACTACTGCAATATGCTCTACATGGAGCTGCCCTTGAAGAGTATTCGGAAGTTTCAGTGGGTGCAAAATGCAATGGCACGGGGCAGTCAAGAATTGCACAAGAACATTGAGCCAGGGACTTAATTTTTTTTTTTTACCAAGCTGTTATTGGTGGTTATGTTTATATCCCACCTTTTCAAGTACAGCCGAGGGTGGCAAATGTACCTAATCCTACCGGCTCGTTTTCCCAGACCAAGGAGAACAGCAACCCTGTGAGGACTGACACAAAATCACCCCTCTGGCTTTCATGCTAGGAGAGGACGAGAGCTGGTGGTCTCTTGCTTTCTAGGTCGGCACCTTCGCCCTGACACCAAAGCGGCTTCTCAGTTCGGCAATTCTAGACAACTGCCATGTCAGACTGATTAACATAGTTGGAAGGGACCTTGTGGGTCATCTAGTCCAACCCCCCGCCCAAGCAGGAGACCCTACACCATTTCTGACAGATGGCAGTCCAGTCCCTTCTTGAAAGTCTCCAGTGATGAAGCTCCCACAACTCTGAAGGCAACTTCTGTTGATGGTTCTCACTCTCAGAAAAGTTCTCCTTATTTCTAGGTTAAATCTCTCTCCTTGTTCAGTTTCCATCCATTCTTCCTTCTCTGGCCTTCAGCTGTTTTGGAGAATAGCTGGACCCCCTTCCTCCTCTCTGCAAAAGCCCCTCAAATATTGGAAGAAGCTCTCCTGTCTCCCCGGTCCTTCTCTTCACCAGACTAGTCAGGCCCAGTTCCTGCAACCGTTCATCGTATGTTTTAGCCTCCAGTCCCCTCATCATCCTGGTTGCTCTTCTCTGCACTTTTTCTAGAGTCTCAAGCAGTGTCCACAAGCAGCACTTTATGGGTTCTTGAAGACCATGGCGCAATCGCTACACCTGAGATGACGTTGCCTGCAGGGGTTCTCCTGCTTGAGCAGGGGGTTGGACTAGAAGACCTCCAAGGTCCCTTCCAGCTCGATTCTATTCTAACGAAGAAGCGAGAGGAGGCAAACCCTGATGGGCACATATTCACTCATTTGCTGCCCTTATGTGCCCCTTCGCCTCACATCACCAGAGGGGGCCATTACACACAAGTGGTCCTCGACTTACAACAGTTCATTTAGTGACCGTTCAGAGTTCGGCTTACCGTTTTTCAAACTTACCACCTCGGTAGCATTATGTGTGTCAACTTGCAAAGCTTTCAAGTTGCCATGAGCAGGAGGGAGGGAGAACTGAAGTGAATTCCATACATTCTTTCTGACCGCAATCAGAAGGAGGGTGTTAGGTTTCACAGCCAGCCAAAGTGGTTAATTGGAGAATGTGATTTATGACATGGCCAGAGAGGAGAGACAGGGTCATAGGGGAACGTAAATCTATGGAGGATCAGTCCTAACTGCATCCCAGTATTGCCGGAATGTTGCTCCTAATAAATGACTATATTTCCTTTGAAGTTTGGATCATGGCTCATGAATTAATTAGGGCATCTTTCGGAAACTTGACAATGTGATCAAAATTCAGATGCTTGGCAACTGGTTCATACTTATGACCGTTGCAGGATTCCGAGGTCATTTTTTTGCAACCTTTTGACAAGCAAAGTCAACGGGGAAGCCAGATTCACTTAACAACCATGTTACTAACTTATCCACTGCAATGATTCGCTTGACGACTGTGGCAAGAAAGGTCGTTAAAATGGGGCAAAACTGGCTTAACAAATTTAACGAACTTAACAACAGAGATTTTGGGCTCAATTGTGGTCGTAAGTCAAGGACTACCTGTATCAGATCTCTGCTGGGCCAGGAATCTTTCTCTCTCTCTCTCCCCCTCTCCTCCCTCCCTCCTTTCCCTTTATTATTTTTATAAATAGCTCAAGGCAGCAAACACACATATATACTCTGTTCTCTACCTATTTTCCCCACAATAATCCTGTGAGACGAATTGGGATGAGAGTGAGTGAGGAGTGAGTCCAAGGTCACCCAGCTAGCTTTTGTGCCTATGGCGGGACTAGAACTCACCATCTCCTGGTGATTGGCCCAAAGGCACCCCGCCAGCTTTCATGCGTAAGGCAGGACTGGAACTCACCATCTTATGATTTTCTAACCTGGCACTGTTACCCACCACCAAACTGCCTCTCTATTCTTCTGTAAACCAATAAACAAAGCATGCTTGTTGTGGAGAAAATAAGAGATGGAACGTATCGGTACGTTTGCTGCCTTGAGTTATATATTTATTAACTGGATTTTCTAGTCCAGAAAGATCCAGTTGGCTCTTGAAAAAGCACCTTTGGGACAACCATGACCTGGAAGACTGAGAAACTCCATAGACATTTATTTATTAAATTTATACGCCACTCATCTCGCATTGAAAGCGACTATATAAAAAAGGTGGGAAATAATAATATTAGTAATAATAATAGGAGCTCTTGGAGCAATACCCAAAGGGCTACCCCGCTATGTAGAAATTCTAAATTTACCGGACTTGAACATTTTGACTCTACAAAAAACCACCTTATTCGGAACAGCTTACATCCTCCAACGATACCTTAACAGTTCCTAGGTCCTTGGTTAGGACTCGAGCTGCTGAGCTATTAACCAGCCTCAAAGGCTGTGAATCTCACTAAAGATTAACCAATAAATAATAATAATAATAATAATAATAATAATAATAATAATAATAATAATAATAATATTGGTTGATACCTAAGACGGTGGCAGCAACCTGTATCAACCATCAGCACCAGTCAGTAATATTTGTGATACATTTTTAAATGTTCAATTGACTGAGTTTCATGTTTAATGAATAAAAGAGATAACAATAAATAGGCATTGACAAAATCCCCATCAGGAAATTGCAAAAGATAGCTTAACTTGGAACAATTCTATCCTTTAGCACCATCAAAGAACATCTGCCTATCCCAGATCCTTAGGAAGGACCTGAGAGGTAGATAAAAATGCCAAATCCAATTTAAACATCTGGCTGGCTGTGTAGCCAACCATAACTACCTCCTGGATCCACCAGAAGAGAAGAGACAAAACTGAAAAAGACAACAAAATAGAAAGACGTGCAAAAAGAAATAGAATGACTGTGCAGAAAAAAAAGCAACGGTAGCTCCAATAGTAATAGGTGCCTTGGGTGCCATCCCGCCCTGAGTCCGAAAGGAGAAGGGCGGTATAGAAGTTTGAATAAATACAATAAATAAATACCATCAATAAATAAATAAAAACATCTGGAACCCCACTTAAACCGCACTTGGCATTGGCAAAATCAGTCAATTGCAAAAGGCAGTTTGACTTGGCACAGCTTACATCTCGCAACGAGATCTTTAATGTTAGTAAACAATAACATCTCCTATTGCAGGTCCTTGGGAAGGATTTGATAGTGGATTAAAAAATGCCAAATCCAGTCTCAACATCTGGATGCTGCTGCAAAGGAACCCTAATAATACACAAGTAAAACCGATACTGTACTATCATCGGCACTGACAAAAATCTTCCTTGGTCAATTACAAAAGGCAGCCGTGCTTGGAACGGTTTATATCTTGCAGACCTTTAATATAATAATAATATATTATTTATTATATTAAATAATATATTATTATTATATTTTTTATATTAATCTGAGACTTTGGGAAGGACTTGAGGTGGGCAAAAATGCCAAAACCAGTTTAAACATCTGGCTGACTGTGCAACCAACCATAATAAGAATAAGCTTTCATCCTGTGAACAGACTTTGAACACCTCAAAACATCCACATCTGCCTCTCCCAGGTCCTTGGAAGCGGACAAAAATGTCAAATCCAGTCTAATCATCTGGCTGACTAAGCAACCATTCAGAATAAGCTTTCATTCTACGATGAAACCTCTAACACCATCAAATATCTGCCTCTCCCAGGTCCTTGGGAAGCACTCAAGTGGTGGACACAAATGCCAAATCCAGCCTGAACATCTGGCCACAATAACAATGATAAGCTCACGTCCTGCGACAAGACTTTTCATCCCATCAAACATCCACATCTGCCTCTCCCAGGTCCTTGGGAAGGGACTCCGGAGGCGGATAAAAATGCCAGTCGAAACCTCTGGCTGACTGGGTGGCTAATACTAATATACTAATAATATATTGCAGAAGGCGGCTTTAGTTGGAACAGCTTCCATCTGTCACACCATCAAACATCTAGGTTTGCCTATCCCAGGTCCTTGGTAAGGACTCGACAGGGAGACAAAAATGCCAAACCCCAGTCTGAACATCTGCTGAATGTGGGATTAATAATAAAAATGAAAAATAAAATAAAATAAAATCATCATTATCATCATCGAAGAAAAAGAACTGGAAAAAATCATGAAATATCATGACCTGGCCATCGAAACGACGCGATTATGGATGAAACATGTAACAGTGATACCCATGGTCATCGGGGCACTTGGTACCATGTCCAAGAATTTTACAAAACACATCAAGAAATTACAGCTTCCTGCAATAACACCAGCGGAACTGCAAAAAACTGTGCTACTCAGAACATCGTACATCTTAAGAAGGTACTTGGTTGATACCTAGCACACTGGCAGCAACCCGTATAAACCATTAGCACCAGTCAGTGGTATTTGTGATGCATTTTTGAATGTCCAATTGACTTGAGTTTCATGTTTAACGAATAAAGTCGATAGGTAGACAAATCATCTCGATAGGTAGACAAAAATGCCAAACCCAGTCTGAACATCTGGCTGACTGTGCGATGATCAATAATAATACAACAACGTCATTGACAGAATTGCCAGCAGTCAATTAAAAAAAGGAAGCTTGGCTTGGAACAGTTTACATCCTGGGATGATGACCTTCAACCCCGTCAAACATCCCCACCTGCCCCTCCGGAGGGGCTCCAGCGGTGGATCCAAAGTGCCAGATAATAATAATAATAATAATAATAATAATAATAATAATAATAATAATAATAATAAATAAATAATTTAATAAAATAATATATTTTAAGAAGATACCGGGTTGATACTTAGGACCCTGGCAGCAACCCGTATCAACCATTAGCACCAGTCGATGGTATTTGCGATGCATTTTTAAATGTTCAGTTGACTGAGTTTCATGTTTAATTAATAAAAGAGATAATAATAATAATAATAATAATAATAATAATAATAATAAGAAGAAGAAGAAGAAAGAAGAAGAAAGAAGAAGAAGAAAAAAGAAAAAGAAAAAGAAAAAAGAAGAAGAAAAAAGAAAAAGAAAAGAAGAAAAAGAAGAAAAAAAGAAGAAAAAAGAAAAAGAAAAAGAAAAAGAAAAAGAAGAAGAAAAAGAAGAAGAAAAAAGAAAAAGAAAAGAAGAAAAAGAAGAAGAAAAAGAAGAAGAAAAAAGAAAAAGAAAAAGAAGAAAAAAAGAAGAAGAAAAAGAAGAAAAAGAAGAAAAAAGAAGAAAAAGAAGGAGGAGGAGAAGGAGATGATGATAATACTTGGTTGATACCTAGGATGCTGGCAGCAGCCCGTAACAACCATCAGTGCCAGTCAATGATATTTGTGACACATTTTTAAATGTTCAGTTGACTGAGTTTCATGTTTAATGAATAAAATAAGAAGAAGAAGAAGGAGAAAGAGGAGGAGGAGGAGGAAGAAGAAAGAAAAAGGAGAGGAGGAAGAAGAAGAAGAAGAGGACTGTGGGGTCCTTGGTGTTTTCTGAGTTTGGTTTGTTTTCTTGCAGAAGTTTCATTACCCAACTAGGTAATATCATCAGTGAGAGGAGAAGAGAGAGAAAGAAAGAAGAAAGAAGAAAAAAGAAAGAAGAGAAAGAAAGAAAGAGAGAAAGAAAGAAGAGAAAGAAAGAAAGAAGAGAAAGAAAGAAAGAAAAGAAAGAAAGAAAGAGAAAGAAAGAAAGAAAGAAAGAAAGAAAGAAAGAAAGAAAGAAAGAAAGAAAGAAAGAAAGGAAAAAGAGCCCTGATTGTCGTTGTACATCATCCATACAAGGAACACTGCTTGAGCCTCTACTGGTGCAACCCATAACTGAACATCTGGCTGGCTGTGCCACCGGCCACCCTAGGAGGCCCTGAGAGGCCCAGAAAGACCCTCCAGGCGGGCGTGTCCCAGGAGCAACCAGAGGGGGGTGGGAGCTCCATAATTGGCCTGAGGGGAGGGGAGGAGGAGGGGGGCTCGACTAGATGACCTCCAGGGTCCCTTCGTTCTGAGGAAGCGTCCCTAAGAGTGGGGGGGGGCGGCTTCCCCCATCGCCCCGCCGGGCATCAATGGGGACCCCCCCTCCTCCTCCCCCCCACTCCCAATTGTCTCCCTGTGGGGGAGGGGGGAGGGGCGCGGCCTTCTCCTCCTTGCTTGGGAAAGATCCAACCCGGAAAGGCCTCGGGGAGGCGGGTGGCTGAGGGAGGCGGAAGCCCACCGGGGGCGCCCATGGACCCCTCCCCGCCCTGCCCGTGGGGGTGGGGGGGTGGCCGCCGTTCTCACCTGGGCCGCCCTCCGTCCCTCGGAGCCCCTCGGCGCTCCATGAAGATCGGCGCATGCGCGCACCGCTGAACGCTCGCCCGCCTTCCGCCTTCTTCCCCTCAGCGCCCGACGGAGGAGCGGAAGCCCCGCCCTCCCGGCACGCCTCTTCTCTACCGGCAGCCGGAAGTTGGCCGCTAAAGGACGGCCTGCGCTTCCGGTGGCGGCCATTTTGAGGCGTCAGATTGAGAGAGAAAGAAAGAAAAGAGAGGCCTAGGCGCCTCCATCTTGAGTTTGAAAAGGCAGCCGGGCGAACGAGCGCTTGGGGTAGCAGCGCCCGGTCGCTCTTTCAAACTCAAGACGGATCTGGCGCTCTGGGCCTATCACCGGTGGTTTTAAAAGATTTGGCATCTCGTGCAAATGAGAGAAATCAGCACTTGGGAAACAAAGACGGAAAGGCGCCATACGCCACTTCCGGTTAGCCGGCCAATGAAGATGCCTGGCTTGGGCGCCATATTGGAAAAGGGCGCTGGCTTCTGCCTTTTAGTTGCCCACTTCCGGTCAACCTACTTCCTCCAGTGGGCAGGGTTTTTTTGCGGGGGGGGGTCGCCTTTCTTGGAGGGCGCCCGAATAAAAACTCCAGCCTCTGCTGGTCTTTTACGTTGCTAATTGTGGAAATTATTCTGCCATTGTCACTGGAAGTTAGAAGTAGCATTCCTTCTTGCATGCAACTCCAGACTACAACCCCCATAATCCCCCACCCCATCTCAGTGGGAATTATGGGCTTTCAAGCCTCCAAAGTTCAACATCCCTGAATTGGCAGTCATTCTAATACAGAAGAATTGCTCTAGCAAATGTTTTGTATGCTCTAGTTAGTAATACAATATTGCCAGAGTTCATTCTCTATGACAGGGGTCCCCAAACTCGGCAGCTTTAAGACTTGTTGGACTTCAACTCCCAGAATTCCCCAGCCAGTTGGCTGGGGAATTCTGGGAGTTGAAGTCCAACAAGTCTTAAAGCTGCCAAGTTTAAAGACCTCTGCCGTAACTGGACCAATGTTTCTCAACCCTTGAAGTTAGGTGGACTTCAACTCCCAGAATGCCTCAGCCGGCAATGGCTGGGGAATTCTGGGAATTGAAGTCCAACAAGTCTTAAAACTGCCGAGTTTGAAGTCCTCTAGCCTATGAGATCATAGCTGGCTTTTTTAAAGTTACAACTGGGAATCTCATCATTACGATGATTTTTTTGAGAGGGCTTAAGTTGAGACAAAACTCGATCATGCTGTGATCGCTGTTGGAAAATGGTTCTTTTATTTACTTCTATGTTTTATTTACTTCTATGTAAATAAAACTGTTTTATTTACCTCTATGTGCATCCAGAACCTGAAAGTAACATTTTAACACAGCACAGTATTTAAACAAAACAGTTCGGTTGAGATCTGCATAGGTGGGACTGATTGGGGTAGATTGCAAAGGGTGACACCGAAATATAATTTTATGCCATTTTACTCTATTTTACGTATTTTATATATTAAATTACATTGCATCTTATCCTATAACTATTGTATTTTACCGTACTCTTGTTTTAAATTGTTTGCATAGGATTTTATTGGTGATATGTGTCTGAACCTTGTGCTTTGATATGGCCTATATTGGCTACTCAATAAAGCTATCTCAATGTAATACAGAGGTTATAAATATCAGCCACTTACTTCTACTCCCAGAATTCAATACTGGCTGGGGAATTTTGGGAAGTTAAGTCCATGTCAGGGGTGAAATCCAGCAGGTTCTGAGAGGTTCTGGAGAACCAGTAGTGGAAATTTTGAGTAGTTCGTAGAACTGGCAAATACCACCTCTGGCTGGCCTCAGAGTGGGTAGGGAATGGAGATTGTGCAGTATCCTTCCCCTGCCACGCCCACCAAGCCACACCCTACCCACCAAGCCACACCCACAGAACTGGTAGTAAAAAAAATTGGATTTCCTCACTGGTCCATGTAATTGAAAGCATGACAACTAGGGAATTCTGGGAGTTGAAAATCCACCCATTTCAAAGTTGCCAAGTTTTGGGAGTTGTGATCCACACATAATTTCTTTCTTTCTTTCTTTCTTTCTTTCTTTCTTTCTTTCTTTCTTTCTTTCTTTCTTTCTTTCTTTCTCTTTCCTTCCTTCCTTCCTTCCTTCCTTCCTTCCTTCCTTCTTTCACTCTCTGTCTTTCTTTCTTTCTTTCTTTTTCTTTCTTTCTCTTTCCTTCCTTCCTTCTTTCACTCTCTGTCTTTCTTCTTTTCTTTCTTTCTCTTTCCTTCCTTCCTTCTTTCACTCTCTGTCTTTCTTTCTTTCTTTCTTTCTTTCTTTCTTTCTCTTTCCTTCCTTCCTTCCTTCTTTCACTCTCTTTCTTTCTTTCTTTCTCTTCCTTCCTTCCTTCTTTCACTCTCTGTCTTTCTGTCTTTCTTTCTTTCTTTCTCTTCCTTCCTTCGTTCATTCCTCTCTCTCTCTTCATCCATCTACCTACCTACCTACCTACCTATCTACCATCTTCCATTTTCAGAAGGGACTTGGCCTGGCCTCCCCCTTCCCAGAATTGCTTCAAGACCCCCAGCTGGCTTTGTGTTACCACAGGACTCCAACTTGCAAACTTCCTGCTTTCTAGTGTAGGAAGTTAGCACCCACCCCTTCTCCTAGAAGAATGAAATATTTTAGGAAGCATTAAAAAGGCAGAATATATTTCCTTGGATGAGAAATGGAGAAACATGTTTTAAAGACAAAGCAGCTCCCACCTTCCCGCCTCCCTCCCCCCCACCTTTGTCAATGGACCATCATCTGCAACACAATAGGACCCATCTAGCAACAGAAACTCCCCATATGGCATCTGGGGTGATTACATCAGCCAGCAAGGCTAGCTAAGACCCCCCACCCCTGGGAGTCTGACAACCAATCAGGATACTCTTCCTGTGCCCCAGGAAGTTCAAAGCCAGGGAAGGTATAAAACCCAGGGACTCTCAGCATTTCTGCCCTTTTCTGTTCAGGAACTCAAACCATGTGATCCTGTCCACCATTAAACCATCTTTCCAAGCAATCTCCATGTTTCCAATGTCTTTTTCCCCACTTGGAGCTGAAGCCAGGAGGATATTTCTTGCAACACTAGCCTGATGCATTTAGCTACGATACTAAATTGCCTCTCATATTATTTAGAGACATTGTGGACCTCTCTGTGTAAAAGTAGATCTTAACTTCATCCTATTGTATATAAAAATAAATGTGTAATCAAGCATTCCAAATGATTGAAAACGTTTTGCTTCTTGGCCGAGAAGGGAAACGTTTTCAAAAGAAGGAAACCAAGGGAAGTCCAGTTGCCTTTTGGAAAAAACAAAAACTTTTGGGACAACCATGACCTCCATCACTGAGAATCTCCACAGACATTCAGTTTCCAGTTTTAAGTCTCTTAACAAGGTACAAAAGCCTGAGAGTAGCTTGTTTGTAGTCTGATTGTGGTTTGTCTAAGCATGCAGATTACCATTCTTGTTAGTATCTTGTCTCCATGAAAACAGCACAAAGAGCCTGTACCCAACATACATGAGTTATGCTGTCGTATCCATTAATTTTCAGTTCAGTCAACTTTAATAACTAATAACTTGGAAGAGGAGCGATCGGACTCCCAACTTTTTTGCCAGCCAGTTCTCTTGTTTCTTAACAAGAAATTCTATTTACCCTTTTAGACTACACAATTAATTTCCACCCAAATAGGTGTCTTGATATGTACAATCCATACCTTTTTCTATTTTAAATATAATACATTGCATTCAAATAATCTGCTAAAGCCACAGTTAAACCACAACTCATTGGATTTATACAACACTCTAAGGCAGTGTTTCTAGCCTTGGGAACTTTAGGATATTGGACTTCAACTCCCAGAATTCTGCAAGTTGAAGTTCATGCCTCTTAAAGCATGATGGCTGGGGAATTCTGGGAGTTGAAGTTCATGCCTCTTAAAGCATGATGGCTGGGGAATTCTGGGAGTTGAAGTACATGCCTCTTAAAGCATGATGGCTGGGGAATTCTGGGAGTTGAAGTTCATGCCTCTTAAAGCATGATGGCTGGGGAATTCTGGGAGTTGAAGTACATGCCTCTTAAAGCATGATGGCTGGGGAATTCTGGGAGTTGAAGTTCATGCCTCTTAAAGCATGATGGCTGGGGAATTCTGGGAATTGAAGTACATGCATCTGAAAGCAGGGGTCAGACCTCATGGACCATTAAATTCATAATTTTGAATCCCGTGGACCACTAATATGATATTTTTAAAAAGATAAATAGCATTTAGTGCAATATAAAAAAAATGCAAATAATTTTTCTGCGGACCACCAAAATTTTCTCACGGACCACCAGTGGGTCCACAGACCACCAGTTGGTGACCACTGTTTTAAAGCATGATGGCTGGGGAATTCTGGGAGTTGAAATCCACCCATCTCAAAGTTGACAAGTTTGAAAAATACTGCTCTACAGCACAAATGGGGTTTGTCTTTGTAGCCCAGAACCTCATCAGTTTCATAATACTGAAATCTGACAGCAAGATTTCATATTGTCATCTTTCCTTTTTTTAAAAATATTTTAAGAACTTTAAACCAGACATGCTGAACATGTCTGAGTTTATGCTACTTGGCTCATTGTGGTTCAGCTCTGGTCTTAATATATTTTGTGCATCCTATGTCCCCATTATGCTATAAGACAATTTATCTGGATCCCTGTGTGATGAGAACACAGTCACTGCCCAAGTCTTTTGCATAAACAGAAAAAACTTGGATTATCCCCCAAATCAGAAAACAAAAGAGTCCTTCCAACATTTGGAAAGGAAATTACTTTGTCCCAATCTGAGGCTATCTCGGCGGACAGGGAGAATTTTGGGCCACAGATACCTGCAAAACTACTTTCTCATCAAAGGAGGGGGGGGGAAAATTCTCAGGCAAGTTTTTTTTCTGCAGTTGTTTTGGTTAGGATGCAAACTTTCTGAGCCTTAATCTCTCTCCTCCCTTCGGCCCATCTGGATTTGAAATTATATGCAGCGGGTAGCCCTTGTTTAGCAAACACAATTGGGACCCGCGACTCAGTCATTAAATGCAACGGTCGCTAAGTGAAACTTCAAACGTGCTTACGATCT